AGTAGTGATTGTCTATGGATGCCAGTAAGAGAGAGGCTGATGGGGACTGGATATTGACATGGTTCTTTCCTACTAGAAAAGAGAAAGACGTAGCTTTACAATGGCAGGTTTCAGCTGCTCCCACCTGTTTCAGTCTGCTTGAGCTGCCATAACAAAATCCCACAGACTGGATAGCTCAAATGACAGACATTTCCTTACAGTTCTGGAGGCTGGGAGTCCAAGATCAGGGTGATAGCATGGTGGGTTCTGGTGAAGGCCCTCTTCCTGGTTTGCAGATGGCAGCCTTCTGTGTCCTCATGTGGTGAAGAAAAAGCTCTTTGGCGTCTCCTCCTCTTATAAGGACACCATTCCCATCAGATTAGGGCCCCATCCTATGACCTGATTTTACCTTAATTACTTCTTTAATGGCCCTACCTCCACATACAGTCACATTGGGGGGTTAAGGCTTCCACATATGAATTTGGGGGGGAGGCACAAACATTCAGCCTATGATGCCACCTGGAGCACAACCTCCCCCCATCAATCTCACCGTCCCTGAAAGTGGGACAACCTGGCATTATGCAACATGAAGGTACCAGCTCTTATGTAATCATCCCCAAAACACTGAACCAAAATTTAATCAAGCCTTCAATTTAATTTCCTGATTCTAGGAAGTCAGGGGATATAGCAGGGATCAATAAAAAAAGGGCCAGATAGTAAATATTTTCTTTCTTTCTTTCTTTTTTTATTAGATAGTAAATATTTTCAACTTTGCAGGCCATATAGTGCCTGTAAGAACTACTCAACTCTCTCTTTATAGTATAAAAGCAGTCACAGACAGGATATAAACAAGTGGGCATGGCTATGTGCCAATAAAACTTCATTTATGGATGCTGACATCTGAATCACTTATGATTGTCAGGGGTCACAAACTTTATTCTTCTTTTGATTTTTTCCAGTTATTTAAAAATGTTAAAAACCATTCTTAGTCTACAGCCTGTACAAAAATAGTTGGTGGTTACAAAAATCAGATACCTGATAAGGGAACTATATCTAGAATACATAAAAAAAACTTACAACTCAATAATAAAAAGACAAATAAACCCAATTTTAAAATGGCAAAGGATTAGAATAGACATTTCTCCAAAGAAGATATACAAATGGCCAATAAGCACATGAAAGGATGCTCAGTATCATTAGTCATGAAGGAAAAGCAAACAAAACCACAATGAGTTGCCAGTTCACACCCACTAGGATGACTACAATAAAAAGGACAGAAAATAATAAGTGTTGGTAAGGATGTGGAGAAATTGGAAACTTCATACATTGCTGGTGGGAATGTAAAATGGTGTACCCACTTTGGAAAAGTCTGGCAGTTCCTCAAAAGGTTAAACATAGAGTCACCATTTGACCCAGCAATTCTACTTCCAATAGGAATAGAAACATATGTCCACACAAGAACTTGTATACAAATGATAGTAACAGCATTATTTGCAAGAGCCAAAAAAGTTGGAACAACCCAAATGTCCATCAACTGAAGAATGGATAAACAAAATGTGGTATATCCCATACAGTGGAATATTATTCAGCCTTAAGAAGAATGACATAAAAGGGTTAGCTCGGTTAGTTAGAGCAAGATGTTATAACACCAAAGGTCAAGGGTTCAGATCCCTGTACTGGCCAGCAAAAAAAAAAAAAAAGAATGAGGTACTGACACATGCTACAACATGGATGAACCTTGACAATATTACGCTGAATGAAAGAAGCCAGTCAGAAAAACACACATATTGCATGACTCCATTTATGTGAAATGTCCAGATTAGACAAATCCACAGAGCTAGAAAGTAGATTAATAGCTGCCTAGGGCTGGGGGTGGGAAAGACTGGGAGGAAATGGGGCGTGACTAGTCTATTCATGGCTGACAGGGATGTTTCTTTTTGGGTGATGAAAATGTTCTAAAATTGATAAGAGTGATGGTTGCATAGCTCTATGAATTATACTAGAAACCACAGAATTATGCACTTTGTTTCTTTTCTTTTATTTTTTGGCAGCTGGCCAGAACAGAGTGGAATCCTGGACCTTGGTGTTATCAGCATCATGTTCTAACCAAATGAGCTGACCAGCCAGCCCTTGAATTGTACATTTTATTTTATTTTTGGTAGCTAGCCCATACGGGGCAGGGATCCGAACCTGCAACCTTGGTGTTATAAGGCTCTGCTCTAACCAACTGACCAGCCAGCCTGAATTGTGCACTTTAAGTGGGTAAACTATATGTTATGTGAATTATATCTCATAAAGCTGATTTATTTTATAAAAAGGTGACTGGCAGGATTTGACTTTGGGCTGCAGACTGTAGTTAGCTGACTCCTGCCATGGAGGGACAAGTGAAATGACACCACAAAAAAAGCAAAAAGACAAATTCAGATGGTGGAATGATCAACAGAATAATTGACCCAGTTTCTTTAATGAATCAATTACACCAAGAAAAAAACAGGGTGAAATGGAGGGGGGACTGTTCCAAATTAAGAGAGATTTAAGAGACATAACAGAAGTCACTTGACCAGATCCTGATTCAATCAAGCCAACAGTTTTTTTTGTTTGTTTGTTTTTTTAAAAAAGCATTTTTGAGACACTGGATTTGAACATGGACCAAAGTAATGGATAATATTCTAGAATTAGGGCCAGCCCATGGCTCACTTGGGAGACTGTGGTGCTGATAACACCAAGTCAAGGGTTAAGATCCCCTTACCGGTCATCTTTTAAGGGGAAAAAAAATATATATATATATATATATTCTAGAATTATGGTTGCTTTTGTAAAGTGTCATAATGGTATTGTGGTCAGGTAAGAAAATATTCCCGGTTCGTACACTTGCATCTTGTTAAATAAAATTTATAGGCCATTGGATTGGACTGAGCTCCTGCACTAGGCCCAACCGACCAAACCAAAATAGTCACTCATGTTAAAGTTCCAAGCTACGAAGCAGAAACTAAGTTGTTTATCTGACTTTCTGAGAAATCAGGAGAGAGATAGGTAATAGCCAAATTCCTATACAGGCCAGTTTTAGCCAGCATGGTAAGAAAGTCCACTCTGCTTTAACCTTTAACTTTGAAATAACCAATATGCTCTTTGTTTTCTTTCCGCTTTCCATAGCCCTTTTCTGTCTATAAAAAAACCCAACTTCTGGCTGGCCGGTTAGTTCAGTTGGTTAGAGCAGAGCCTTATAACACCAAGGTCAAGGGTTCAGATCCTGTACCGGCCAGCCGCCAAAAAAACAAACAGAAAAAACCCCAACCTCCTGTGAGGCTCAGCACAACGTTCATTCTAATTTACAGAATGAGCTATTGCCCAATTCTAAAACCGCAAATCAATGGCAATTAACATCTTTCAGCTAAATTTGTTACAATTTTGTCTTCTGATAATTCTGAGGCAGTTAGGGGTGAAATGTCATGATGACTAGGATTTGCTTTAATATCTTTAAGTTAAAAAACATACATTCATTAAGTATGGAGAAAATATTAATTGGTAAATCTGAGCGATAGGGATTTTTATCCTATTCTCTCACTTTTATGTTTGAACACTTTCATATTAAAATATTAAAATAAAACTGCTTAAAGGACCCTTCAAGCCCCAAATTCACACCGAATCAGCAGTACAAACAGGATGAACATCTGGACTGACTGACTCCAAAGGTCCATGAAGGAAAACGTTAAACCCTACATCAACTCCTAGAGGGAGGGGCTGTCAAAAAAACGCAGGGAAGGCGACGGCGGGCGACTGTGCAGTGCAGTACACCCGCGCCCTCTATCACAGTCTGGGAAACTGTGAAGACCGGGAAAGGGATCCTCCTTTCTCAACTCCCACTCCTCAGACCCCCAGAAGTCTCCGTCCTCTCCTTCCCCTGGAAGCCCCCGGCCCATCAGTACAACTCTCAGGAGAACTGCTTGATGCACGTCGGCTACTTCCAGGGGGTGCTGGGAAACGTAGTTCGGCTTCAAACTTGGGGCGCCCAGAGAGCTCTATTAATGACTGACGGGTAATCGAGAATCCGAAATCATCCGGTCTTCCTTAGGACTCCCGGCCTCAAGCCGGCGGGAAGGTAATCCTAGCAACACTACCCCTGGAACTCACCTCACAAACGACTCGTCTTTCCTTTGCCGTTCTTCAACTCTGCCCTACACCGGAAAGGAGCACGGTTTCCCCTCTCCGCTCCGCCCGCTTCCGCCTGGCAGAAGAGAACGGAAGTAGAGCTGCCCCTAGTTGCGGAGGTGCCTCGCCTGGCTTGATAAATTCTGTTTTCTTCTCTGTCTCCCTCCGGAAACGTGAGTGGCAACTCGAAGGTTCCGGTTAATGAAACTGGCGTAACTATGGGGAGGGCTTAGTATGTACTAGGCATTTCCCAGGGTGGACGATTTCCTGCTTGATTCCCAGGCTTTCAGTCTTTACCAGCCGGAGTTTACTTCCTCCAGAGATTAGGAAGCCCACTTCCCCAAATATATCATTCACTTTTCTTGCTGCATCTTGAGACAATTTAGAAGGGACAGGTACTTTGTTCCTATTTTATAGACAGAGCAGTTGAGAAATGGGAAGTCAAAGACGTTCAAGTCAACCTCAAGAAACGGGGATTTACTACGGCACCGCCCACCTAGACCAGGGACCAAGGCATACCGTTCCCGCCAGTTTCTAGATATCTAGAGACCCAGACGTTTATTGCCCTAGCTTAGCCTAGCGAGTTCCAGGTGGGGAGACGGATCTGGGGGCGGGGAACGGGAGGGAGGAGGAGGCGCAACTCCAATCCCCTCAGTGCCCCACGGTGTCTGAGACCCTGGCTTTCCTATAGAGCTCTGACCCTTAGGTACTTTATCCTAAGGTCCCTTTAAATACTTTGTCCCTTACCTGAGTCCCGCCCAGGGCAGGTAATCGCAAGCCCCGCCCCCCTGCCAGAAACCGAGATCGGGCCTGGTTATAGGGAGTGGGACACCCCTCCTCCCTCTCCCCTCCCCTCTTCCCTGCCCCACTTCACAGCTGGTGGCAGCTGGCCGAGGAGGCCCCGATTAAAGAGGAGGGGGAAGTGCTCACAGGTCTGGGCAGGTAAGTGAATGTCCCTGGAGGCAGAGCTTTGCTTAGAGACCCTGGCATCCTGGCTCCCTGCCCCTACAAGACCCAGGAGTTTGGGGCCTCCAGAACCTGGAGTCCGGGGCCCCTGCCCCCTTATCACCCTGGAACAAAGAATATAGGCCCCTGCTCCTGCCTCTCCTGTAATCTTTGATCTCTGTGGGTGGATGTTGCAATGGACACACAGAGGTGTAAGTGGAAGTTGCCAGGAAAGAAGGTATCCTGATCACCAGTGGACATGTTTATGAACACCTGCCATATGCCAAAAGCTGTGTTGGGGACTGCAGACACAGTGGAGAACAAGATAAGCTCCCAACTCCCACTCTCATGTTTGGAGGTACACTGCCTTCCCTTAAATCCTGGCTCTGACACATGCAAACAGTGTGACCTTGGGCAAGTTCTTTTACCTCTCTGTGCCTCAGTTTCCTCATCTATAAGTGGGGATAATAATAGGACTGTTGTAAAAATTAAAATGAGTTGATATAGGAAAACAGTATTCAGCACAGAATCCAGGCTAGGTAAGTGTCTGCTATTATGAAAATTCATGACCACAGAGTCCTGTCAGGGAGACCTTCCCTCATTCCCCAGGGGCTGAGGCACTTATCATCTATACCACATCTGAGGGCCGACTGGTGGCTCACTCGGGAGAGTGTGGTGCTGATAACACCGAAGCCATGGGTTCGGATCCCTTTATAGGGATGGCTGGTTTGCTCACTTGGGTGAGCGTGGTGCTGACAACACCAAGTCAAGGGTTAAGATCCCCTTACAAGTCATCTTTTGTAAAAAAAAATAAAATAAAATACCACATCTGATTCCAGCTGTCCATAAAATATGAGGGGCCACCCCTCTCTGCTGCTGCTATACATGGGATTGACCACCTGCCTGGATACCTCACCTGGTGATGAACAAGACCAAGGTGAGTGTCTAGGGAAAGAACTGGTGTCCAGGTGCCTGATATCTGCCATCCCCTGACCCAGAAACCCCTGTCTCTAGTCCCCTTCTCCCCCAGGACCCCATAGCTCTCTATCCCCTTATGTCCCCAGCCCTAGGGACCCTCTATTTTTCTGTCGCTCTTGTCTTTGGGCCCAGGGGTCTTCCTGGGCCCCCCAGATGCCCAGAGCTTCCTGGGCAGCCGTAGCCGAATTCCACGAGCCAATCACTGGGACCTGGAGCTGCTCACACCAGGGAACCTGGAACGGGAGTGTCGCGAGGAGAGGTGCTCCTGGGAAGAGGCGAGGGAGTACTTTGAAGATAACACGCTGACGGTGAGTACTTCGGGATCCTGGAGTCTGGGGACCTCTGTCTTCTCTGGGTCCTGGCGGGGGAGGGACCCTCCTCCCTGGAGTCTCAGAAATCAGGATAGGCTGGTTTGAGGCGTGTGAATCTCTCAGTTGAATTGCTGCTTTTCCCCCTTCTCTTTCATTCCTACCCCTTTAAGGAGCGTTTTTGGGAGACCTACATCTACAATGGCAAAGGAGGTGAGATGGTGGGGCAGCTGAAGCCCTTTTCTTCTCTGCAGCTAAGGCAGCCCCTTCCCATGGAGGACAAACCAACATCTGCCAGCTGAAATTTGGCACAAGAATTGTCTGCTCCCCCACAATTCTGTGCTCCCTGAAGATGGTTGTTAAAGGAGTCCCCTCCTTTCAGACTAACACCTGCCTGTGGAGGTCCCATGTTCCCAGGAAGGGAGAAATGGGGGTGGAGGGAAAAGTTATAGCTCTGAGGCCTATCGGGCCTTAGACTCAGAGAGGCAGGTCCACCTGAGGCTTTCTTTGGGGTCCAGAGCTCCAGCCCCTTGGGTGGCTTGGTTGCTAGGGGATCTGCTCCCTAGCATCGGGGCTAGTGGAGGAAGGCTGGCCATCCTCATCTGCCCAGTTTGCCCATCCCCAGCCCCTTCTTTGAATTCTGAGGCCGCATCTCGGCTGCAGCCTTGTTACTAACAGGGGCTTCTCCTTAGCAACGGGGCCTGGCCAGGCCAGACAGAGGAAGCCCGAAGCACTACCTGGCTGGTTTCTCCTCCCCCACAGCCCCATCCCAGCCTCAGCCTGGTTGCTAAGGAGGCTTTCTCCCTAGCAACCACACCTAGACAGGCTCAGGATCCAAGGCCTCCTGCCCACTGAAGGACCACCCTCCTGGCACCAGATGCCCCGCCATTCTGTGGCCTGGTTGCTAGGGGAGGATGCACCTTAGCAACAGGCCCTAGGTCTGGGCTGGAGTCCTCACATTGGAGCCTGGTTGCTAGGGGAGGTAATTCCTTTGCTACAGACATAGTGAGGCCTAGCGGCTCCTTGAATCCACCTGGAATATGCCAAATCAGGAGGACCCGCCTTCTCAGAGGAGCTTTTTGCTAAGAGGGCTAAAAAGCCTGGGGTTTACTGTTTGAGGAAAGCCCCCTCTACCCAGTACCAAAGGAGTTTTCCCCAGCAGCACAAGTTAGCAGGCCTCAGGAAGCCTAAGGTCTCCCTGTGCCCGCTTCTCCATAGACACAAGGCCTTGGATTGCTAAAGGGGCTGCACCTTAACAACAGGTCCATGTGAGTTCTAGATACCTAGTGATTTGTGGGGGAGGTCACTAAACTCCTCCAGTGTTAAGTGAATTTTTCCTAGCCTCCTAGTAAATTCAGAAGCCTTCCTGTGGATTCTGCCCTTCCTTCAGAGTTCAGGTCTGGCCCCTCATTGGCCTGGTTGGTAAAAGGGGCTATATTCCAGAGTAGGCAGAGGTGCCAGATAAAATATAGGAATTGCCCACCCCTCCCACAGTCACATGTGAATTTCAGATACACAATGAATAATTCTTTTTTTTTTTTTTAAAGATGACCGGTAAGGGGATCTTAACCCTTGACTTGGTGTTGTCAGCACCAGGCTCAGCCAGTGAGCCAACCGGCCATCCCTATATGGGATCCGAACCCGCGGCCTTGGTGTTATCAGCACCGCACTCTCCCGAGTGAGCCACGGGCCGGCCCCACAATGAATAATTCTTAAAGTATAAGTATATCCCAAAAAGTGCATGAAATATACTTACACTAAAAAATTATCTGTTGTGGACCGGCCCGTGGCTCACTTGGGAGAGCGTGGTGCTGACAACACCAAGTCAAACATTAAGATCCCCTTACCGCTCATCTTTAAAAACAAAACAAAAAAATTATCTGTTGTGGACCGGCCCGTGGCTCACTCGGGAGAGTGCGGTGCTGATAACACCAAGGCCACGGGTTCGGCTTCCTATATAGGGATGGCCGGTTAGCTCACTTGGGAGAGCGTGGTGCTGACAACACCAAGTCAAACATTAAGATCCCCTTACCGCTCATCTTTAAAAACAAAACAAAAAAATTATCTGTTGTGTATCTGAACTTCGCATTTAACTGGGTGTCCTATATTATTATTTGCTAAATCTAGCAATGCTCAGTTTAGGGGCCTCTGGAAGCATACAGCTACCTGAGCTTCCCATGCTACCTTCAGTGTGTCAGCTGTCCAGTTAGCAGATGGATCATTTAGGAGGCTATGGCCCCTGACTGTGGGGACTTGAACCATCCCATGTCCAGGGAGGGCCTCTGTTGTCATGGGGATATGGCTACTGTATTTTCTAGTCTCAGATGAGGTTATCACAGGCCCTTTATGCATTTGATCTCATTGACTTTTCAAAGCTTGTGGAGTGTGGGTTATGGTTCCCATTTTACAGAGCAGGAAACGGAGGCACAGAGAAAGAAGTTAGGGATATTGCCTGAGGTGACAGGCCTAGGAAGTGGCCCTAGCTCTGCCTTGCTTCACAACCAGTACTCATCCCTCAGGGGGAAGGAATTTGGATGTTGAGGTGGGTGGCAGCCCTTGAGGCAGTGGCTTCCCCATCATTTCCACAGGGCGTGGACGAGTGGACGTTGCAGGCTTGGCAGTGGGGCTGACATCCGGTATCCTGCTCATTGTCCTGGCCGGTCTGGGAGCCTTTTGGTATTTACATTGTCGAAAGGGCCGAGGCCAGCAGCCCTGTCCCCAAGAGTAAGGAGGCTTCAGGGAGGAGGGAGTGGGGGTGGAGAGCAAGGAGGGGGGAAGAAGCGTAAGCCTGAGAAGATGGTCTAAAGATTGGGGGTATGTGGGTACTGATGAAAGATCTGAGACAGTCATGTGGTAAGTGAGTCTGTGAGCTCCCTTATGTCCGGTTGTGGTGTCTGCCTGTCTAGATCCTCAGTACTTGGCACATAGGAGCTCTGTCAACATTTGCTGCCTGCCTGTCTTTGTGGTACCGGATTTCTGTGAGATTATTACTCTGGGTATTGTGTCTGGTGAGGCTGTTACTGTGTTGCCTGTGGTCCATGGGTGGCTGTGGTATGTCAGTTTCTATGGTGACAGGGTTCGTCATGTGTTTGTGTGTATCTGTGTGAGTTGTCTAGGTGTGTTTTTCTCACTGGCAGGGTCTGAGAGGGCATATGAATGAACATCAATGTTAGAAGTATTGTGGGCCTGTGTGGTTTTTTTAGGATGAGTTTGTTGTAAAAATGGATCTGGGAAATTTGTGACTGAGTGTATCTCTGTGTTGTGTTCCTGTTTGTATGGGTTTGCTAGGTTCTATTTATGTATGTGTCTGTCTGCCTCTCTACAGGGCTGTCTTTTTCTGCATTATTCTGCCTGTATCTGGTGCACGTGTGTGTCTGTGAATGAGAGTCTGTCTCTGTGGTTGATTTCTGCATTTGCCTGTCCATGCACATCTGCCTGTCACTTCGAGGTGCTTTCCTGTGTGTAGGGCTTAGGCTGAAGGTAATCCTCCTTTTCTTTGGCCATCTCCCTTCCACCTTTATCCCCCTGGCACCCTCAATGTCCCTGTCTCCTAGGTCTTCTCTCTCAATCCTGTAAGTTTCCCCTGCTGACTGTACCTTTCTGTCCCCAGGGTCGGGATCATCAGCCCTTTGAATCCCCCGAGCTCTGTGGACCCACCGACGCCCCTGCCGCCACCCCCACCCCCCGGCCTACCCACCTACGAGCAGGCGTTGGCTGCCTCTGGGGTGCACGACGCACCGCCGCCTCCCTATACCAGGTATGGGGCGGGGCTTATGCTCGGGGGCGGGGCGAAGAGGGGAGGGCACTGTCGGAGGAGGGGCGGGGCTCAGGGGTGAGAGTTTCGGGTTTATTACCTGGGGCGGGGCTTGGAGCCCGGGGGCGGGGCCCTATGCAATTGCCTAGGGGCGTCGCCCAGTGTTGTATGTGTGGACATTATAGGGGGTGGGGCTTGTACCCAGGGGGTCCCGGATTGGTTGAGAGGCCGAGGGCGGGTCGGAGTGGTCTTGGTTGACGCGGGGGGAAAAGGCAGCCGGATCTTTGACTCCCAACTGTGCTCCTCCTCTTGCAGCCTCAGAAGGCCTCACTGAAGAACTGCCTCGGAGTCCGGGCTCCCCGAACTGTGCCCCTGATTCACACCGGATTCCGGAAGTCCTCAGGCCTCGCAGACTCTGGAGCTGAGCCTGGGAGTGGGGTGGGAGTAGGGGTCGGCCGGCCCGAGGCCTACCCTGGCACACGTGTTTCCGCCGCGTACGGATACACGCAAGTCCTCAGCCAACGTGTTCCCACGTCCCGGCCCCTCGCGGGCCCCCACGCCTTCCTGACAGTGGGAGCAACCGCCCGTCCCGCCCCCGGGGTAGGCATGCGCGCGTAGAAACTCGGTCCCAGAAGCGCAGGCCGGGTATGCAGCCTTCCGTGTGTGGCCAGATATGACCCGACCGTCGCCCTCCAGTGCCCTGGGCTACGCACACGCAGAGCCCCGCTTGTGTATACGATTGCCTTCGTTCACTCCCGGTGCGCGCACAGGGCCGCGTGGTATCCCAGGGAAAGGGTGGGGGGCATGTTTGCAAGCGTGCTCAGTGGGGGCAGGCTTCCATTGCACCCGGGGAACCGTAGTTGAGCTGTTGCCCTAAATAAAAACCCTTCGGAAAGGAGACCAAGAAGAATTGAAACGCAACAAAATAAAAATCTAATGAACTGAACCGCGTTCCCGGGCGCACCTATGCGCGGCGGAGCTGGTTTTCTGTGCAAAAGCTGCGCCCTACACCCCCAGGCCCTGCTTGAGCTCCGTCTCTTCTCTCTCTCTCTCTTTTTTGCATTTGCACGGGATTGTGGGAGGAAGCGAAGCGCAGCCAGACACCCCGCCGCCCGCCCCCCCTTCC